TGCAAACCCAGCTAACAAATTTGCAAACCCAGTTAGCTAATTCACAAACCCAGTTAGGCACACTTCAAAATGACTATGATCTTCTTCATCAGGCTTATGAGGCCCACAGAACACAACATAGTATATTTAAATCCCGAGAACTTGATGGTCGAATTACAATCCGTACGCAAAAAAGACAAATATCAGAGTTGTTAGCAGAAAAATTTACATTGCGTCTTTTGAATGGACGAACTCAAAAGCAATTACAAAATTGTGAAGCTGATAGAGCGACAACCACACATCTCTTAAATCTTACAAGAAATCGATATATCAAATGGAAGAGAAAATGCAAGACTTTAAAAAATGACCTATTACTTGCTAATGTTTAGCTCGATCTCAAGTGGGTAAGTGGAAAGCCTGAGCCCGAAATTCTGAACAATTAATTAATAATTTAAATTAACAAATTTTTGCGCTACAGAATAACCCACCTATAAATAACAATAGAAGAGGTATGGCAGGATACGCGCCTCCAACCTATCATGGATATCCTGATGAAGATCCAGAAGAATTTATTGATTCTTTTCGTTCATATCTCGTGGCCGCCGGAATCAATATAGCTGGTGGGCATGCCGATAGAGTTCGTGCACATGGACTTTTTGAAACATGCCTTAAAGACGATGCCAAAGATTGGTATGAAAAAACTATTCGAAGAAAAAATTGGGAATTAAGAAATTTACTGGATAATACTGGACAAGCTACTTTAGCTCTGGCTCAAGGACGAACGGCAGCGCAACTTGGTGCAAATATAAGACATGGTGCTGTAGGTCAAGCTGGAAATATTATTATTCCAGCTCATACAGTATTTGATGAAGATTGGTCTTTTGCTGATGGTCGCCCAACTGATCGCATAGTAAATCTACCAAATGCCAATGTTGGTCAATCTGTGGTGGCGGACGGAATTCGACTTGGTCAGGCAATATACTGGCTCAAAACTAACTATCCAACCGTTATTGCAGAGAAACAACGAATGATCTTTGGATCAGCAGTTTAGGGTAGTGATCCCGTTGGCTGTTTCTATTCAAAATTGCGCAAATTGGCTAGACTCACTGGCATTGATGAACAACAAATTCGATTACAATTTCTTCGTGGCATCTCTTCTGATAATCAATTAGAAATTCAACGTATTGGAATTAACAGACCCGTATCTGAATTGCTCACAGAACTCGAAGAAATTGAAAGATATAAGGCTGGGCAATTATTTGGAGCTTATCTCTATTCAAATTTAGATTTGGTATCGACAAGAAAACCCCATAATATAGATACTAACAAATCGGTGATGACTAAAACTGAAATCGAAGAGTTGGTAAGAAATACAATGGCAACTACTCAATCTCTGCCAGGTGACAAGTTGAAACGACCTAGTCAGATAGAACCAGGTAAAATATATCAAGACCCAAATTTGCGATTAAATGATCAAGAATGGTTGCGAGGCTTTGGTACTCTAGAGTGTCTTAACAACATGGCTGGCCCATCTACTATACAAACACTAATAGATACAATTACTAAAGGGGTAGTGAATAAATTCTCTTCTCTCTTACCTAAGAAAAGTAATGAAAAGGAATCAAAAAATTATGAGGATGACTCTGATGAAGAGCTGGCTAATCATATGAGTAAGTTATCAATAAATGCAGTTGTAAATAAAGCTGTGAAAAAAGCTATGAAGACACAACACAGATGTTCAAAGTGTAATAAGATTGGGCATCGTTCAAATTCTCCTAAATGTCCGAGAAATAAAAAGAAGAGTAGGTCCAAGAAGAAAGGTAATATTAATAAGGTTACTCTGGATTCAAGCTCAGATACTAACAATTCTTCTGGTAGCGATTCTGGATCCGATTCTGAAAACTGGTCAAATAAATGATTTTGATATATATCTTTGGTCATGTGAAAACGGAAAGCATCAGTGGGAATATCCATATCCGTTAATAGCTACGAAATTTGAATGGTGCCCAATTTGCCCACACACCCGTGAAAGGAGTTGTCGATATATTTTTGAGGATTTACTGGGTAAAAAGTTCCCACCATGCGCACCAGAATTCTTGGGTGGATTGAGGCTCGATGGGTATAACGAAGAACTAAAAATGGCGTCAGAGTATAATGGAGTCCAGCATTTTTATCGCAATAGTTTATATCACAAAAATCAAGGTGACTTAGATTCACAAAGAGTACGTGATCAAACAAAGCGGGAAATATGCAAAAGAGAAGGCATAGATCTCATTAAAATTAGCTATGATACAGATTTGTTTTCCTATATCAAAAGTGAATTACAAAAGAGGGGTTATTTGTCACATAAAGAATAAATTCATAAGTATAAAATTTGTGCGAGTTGACCTACAACTTCGAATCTATGAATTATCAGAATAAAAAATCTGGTGAATATATGTATATAGCAATATAGAT